TGTATATATTGATTATAAACATCTGTTCTCTTCTCCCCAGTAGGGACCCCAGTAGCTTATTTTTGTTATAATTATTAATTTACTTAATTCATTTATACCCTACTTTTCTCCTCAATGGGGGCCCAAAGTAGCTTACATCATTCTCCTTCCCCCATTTTATTCTCACTGAAATCCTGTGAGATAGGTTAGGCTGAGAGAGTGTAACAGGCCCAAGGTCACCCAGCAAGCTTCTATGGCCCGAGTGGGGATTTGAACCTGGGTATTCCAGATTTTAAATTCTCCTGCGGCCTGCCCAGTAATCTATTCAGAACTGTCAGATCTGCTGTGCTTTTCTAATCTTTCTGTTGTAACATCTAGCCTAGAAATGCTGCACAAAAGTTGATCCTACTTAAACTGTTACACAGACAAATCTATCCTTTGACTGTGGTGCCAGAAATAAAGAGGCAATATCAGTCAGCTATTTCATAGCTTCTACATATCTGGGTACCAAATGTTTGATTTGTTGCTACTGACATTGATATCGGGAAAGCAGATCTGCAGTTGTCTTAGGCCAGAGGCTCAGAGCTAGATTTTATTTAAAGGAGGCTTCTAGCTTTTCCTGCAAAGAACAGTCCCTTGTCTCTTCCTCTATCTATTTGTGCACATTAATAACCCTGCTTTTCTTCCAAATGGGGACCCCTCCAGAAGGCTTATGTCAGGGGTGTGACCTTCTGACACACTTCCAGTGATGTTGGGGTGTGTGGCCTTCTGACACACTTCCAGTGATGTCAGGGGGTGTGGCCTTATGACACACGGTGATATCAGGGGGTGTGGCATATGCTAATGAGCTCCTGCAGCTCTTTTTCTACAAAAAGACCCCTGATTATATCTTATGGTAATGGCAACATAGTACTTGAATCATATGGGTCTTGAGTTCCCAGGCACCCTGTCTGTTGTGGTGGGCTCCCTTAGCTACTGTTTTAGAAGGCTGGAGGGGGGGGGAGTTGGCCCTCTACCTTGATTCAAGAGGCCTCTTTTCTAAAGGTGGGTATGAACCTGAAAAATGTGGTTCGGGGTGGCTCATGAACCAAACCCCGAATCGAATGGGCCCAGGGGTCATTTCGTAGGTCCAGTGAGTTTGGTTCCCCCTTTCTCCCAGGGTTCGGGGTGGCTCATGAACCAAACCCCGAATCGAATGGGCCCCACACAAACCAAACTGGTCCAGTGAGTTTGGTTCCCCCTTTCTCCCAGTTACAGCGAGCCACAGCCACTTCCTTTCCCCCTTCTCCTGGCCATGGTTTGCTGCAGCCAGGAGAAAGGAGGAGGGGATCGCCTGGCAAGGGCCTTTATTTAACCCTTCAGTTTTGTTTCCCTACTGCTTTGAAGGTGGGGGAGCAAAACTGAAGGGTTAAATGGCTGCCAGTCATTTAACCCTTTGGTTTTTTTCCCTGCTGCTTCGGGGGAGAGCAAAACTGAAGCAGCAGACTTTGCACCGCTCAACTGTTAGGTTTAAATGGTTGACCCTGAACAGAAAACCGAACTGGCCAAATGTCTGGGGAATGCACCTTTCTCGAACATTGGTTCCTGAGCTCCAGACCAGCCCAAGTTTGGCCTGAATCTTGACTCGTGAGCCGGTTTGTGCCCTTCCTTACTTTTATCCACAAATCTGTCTTGTTTTTACTAAAAGGGACCTACTGTGAGGGACTACTATGGGAGAAAGTGGAGGGTGGTTACATTCCAAATTTGTTTCACAGAGACTTTGCCTGTTTGGAAACTGCCGTGGAGCTAGCTAGTTGAAGCAGTCCAGTCATGTTCATGGCATGTGGACTTTAACTCAACTAGACTTTGCCTTTGAAGGTATAAATCATTAGGGGTGTTCAACAGAAAGTTGCTGTAGGCATAAATTTAGCTGACTGGGAAACTTGTCAAATGGTGCTGATAAGAGGAAATTAGTATAAACTAAGGAAATGAAAGTCAGTGCTTATATGTCCGGCCTTACCTATCTCCTAGTTCTCGCATGTTCTTGAAACGGATGTTTAAAACTTCTGTTTTCTGGTCAGGTATTCAG